TCGTTTACGGGAGGTTCGGCTGTAGACAATTTTGTTGATCGTGACGTATAAAACGAACAGGAATGGTCCTAGGGATTTCCCCTGGGGATAACCTCATTCTATCGGAAGTGGCTGGGACAATAAACCATTCGCTGAGCATTTTTGCTTCCTTTTGTGAAAATCCTAGTTTAAAAGACTTGAACCAATTACATGCGTCAGGCCACCTTACTCCAAAAAGCCAAAGTTCCATTAATTCGAAAGAATCTGAGCGTGACCGTTGCAAATGCCTTCTTCAGGTCGAGGGAAACAACATCACTGAGACGACTTTAATCAATGTTCAGCGCAGCCCAAGCATTAGCGCCAGTGGCTTCTCACTAAAAAGTGGTCACGGATGAGTGCAGGGACCTAAAAGTCGTTCGTGCTGTGTAGTCAGTAGTTTGACAAAAGACTAGATTCGTTAAGATTTACACTGAATTGATTAAAAACAATTTTCAATTAGTTTTTGCTTCAATTGGTCGTACAAAAATCTACCGATAGTCATGCGATCTAATAATACGTATCCGAATGGTTGCCAGTTTAATGTACGAGGTAAAGTCATTATTAGTTCTTTACTACGTAGTTCCTTGAGGGTTAGGAAAGGATCGCAAACAGAGTTCACATCGCTTTAAACAGACACAAGAACGCAAAATTCAACACCAGTAAGCTTATTTTATTTATTTTCNTCTCGTAGGCTAGCCCGCTCTCTAGTTTGTTAATGTTACCATTCCTGATTGTAAGACGTAGTATCAACCACATAAATTGTAGGGAGAGAAAACAACAATACAGTCGAACCTATATGTGCGACCACCTCTCGTAAGCGACCTTCTCCCATAAGTGACCACCTATCCACATCAGTTCGATTCTTGTATACGGCCACTTCCCGGAAGCGACCACTAATTCTTGGTGATCGTTTATGTGAGGTTCGGCTGTAGACAGTTTTGTTGATCGTGATGTATAAAAGGAACAGGAAGAGTCCTAGGGATTTCCCCCAGGGATAACCTCATTCCATCGGAAGTGACTGGGACAATAAACCATTCGCTGAGCATTTTTGCTACCTTTCGTGAAAATCCTAGTTTAACTAAAAAGACTTGAACCAGTTATATGCGTCAGGTCTCCTTGCTTCAAAAAGCCAAAGTTCCATTAATTCAAAAGAATCTCATGCCTGGCCGTTGCAAATGTCTTCTTTAGGTCCAGGGAAACAACATCACTGAGACGACTTTGTTCAATGTTGAGAGCAGCCCAAGCATTAGCGCCAGTGGCTTCTCACTAAAAAGTAGTCACGGTTGAGTGCAGGGACCTAAAAGCCATTCGTGCTGTGTAGTCAGTAGTTTGACAAAAGACTAGATTCGTTAAGATTTACACTGAATTGATTAAAAACAATTTTCAATTAGTTTTTGCTTCAATTGGTCGTACAAAAATCTACCGATAGTCATGCGATCTTATAATACGTATCCGAATGGTTGCCAGTTTTATGTACGAGGTAAAGTCATTATTAGTTCTTTACTACGTAGTTCCTTGAGGGTTAGGAAAGGATCGCAAACAGAGTTCACATCGCTTTAAACAGACACAAGAACGCAAAATTCAACACAAGTAAGCTTATTTTATTTATTTCCCCCTCAATTGTATAAGCTATGGCGTTTTTTCCTTTCTCAATGATACAAGGTAAGGCATTTTTCTTCCGTTCAAATTTATACGTTTCTCTCGTGAACCCTATAAATGGTTACGTTACAATAATTACTCTAGATGCATTAGTAAGCGTTCACATAGTGGGTTTGCGATGTTTCTAAATGATCTGATCCCAGACTGAGTGTCTTAGTGATTCACAAATTACCAATAAGGACAGAACATTCCCTCAGTAACCAAGCTGGTGTTTAGACCAGTAACTTTTGATTTACTTGGTTAGACCCTAAGTCAAATATGAGGGTTTTTCTCGCGTGCAGCCGATTGAGTGCAGCGCTAAGTGTTCTTTTTGAATTAAAACTATCTGTGCCAGTGGGATTTGACAGAAGTTTCTCAAAAGATACCGCGTGGTAGCTTTCTCAAACCAGTTGCTCTGATTGTTCAGGACACGGCAATACCACTGACAAAAATGGTCACTGCTTCAGCTTTGCCACCTTTGTAATAAAGCTGGTTAATAGCTTAATTATTTGGTTTACCAGAGGTGACTTCATTGATTGTTTGCCAAGTCTTTTGAGAGTCATCTGCATAATTAATTCTCAATATGAGACCTGGTAACTTATGCTTGATTTGCTCTAAAAGGAGTGCATTTTTCGAAACATCAGAAGAGTTTTCGGGCATAGAAAGTATTTTTCTTTATTATTCATATTTGAACAATCCTTGGGGATTTTTTGTTCAAAGTAGGCCAACATACTTCAATTCCCGATAGCCTGTGAGCAAACTCTCCATTTGGGAGATATCGTAAACAGTACACGCGCGAGTGTCACTCCAGGGGAGACGCGTGACTCGGTTCGCTCGCCCAAATGGAAAGCTTGCTCACAAGGTAACTTCCCAATCTCGGAAAGTTTTCAAATTTTTCCATTTGAAATTTATCAAAAACCACATTTCCGCTAATAAGTTCAGGGAACTTAGAATAGTTTTTCAAATGTTTTTTGGGCGTTTTGAGAAACTCACGTCTGGTCTAGTTATAAAAGGTATATAAATTCCTGTTATAGAAATTCGCTTTCTATCTATTTGTAGGTGGATTGAGATAAGGGTTTTAAAAGATACTGACGTCGGTTACGAATAACCAAGCAGGATAGATAGAGGAAGTTTACATTGCACTCGCCAAATTCTTTGGAGTCCCGTGGGAGTGGAGTTTTGGAGGTAAAGTTATAATATTGACTTAAGATAAGTGTGAGTGAGGAAGTTCAGTCTACGCAACTTCTGCTTTAAGCAGTTTGAAATGTCATCCCAACCTCGTTCCCAGGGTTCTCTCCTACCCGTCCCTACGGAGTGAGTGTGAGAGAGAAAACTTGGGAACGAGGTTGATGTCATCCTTCTCTTCACCCCCACCCCCACTAGGTGGGGCCAGGAAAGGCTCCCGTGGTGGGGGTGTGGCGAGGAGACCGATGAAATTTCAGACTACAGTCGACTCTCTCTCAACGGACACCTCAACAAGACGGACAACTCGCTAAAACGGACACCTAGAGTTGTTACCTTGGGCCTTTCTTTACTCCTTTTAGTTGACTGTCCGTAAGACGGACACATAGTGCCGGTCCCAGAGGTGTCCATCTTAGAGAGAGTTGACTGTACGCTTTTAGTTAATTCGATATCATTTTACTGGGGGAGGGGATGGTGGTCCGAAAACATATCCATCAGTTCCTAGTGATTTTCAGAGGCTGGCTTAAATCAATTAAGGAGAGTACTACGAACTACTCAACGACTTTTCTGGATGGGTGGACTGACAAGAATCTGAGCCAATTGCAACGCCTAGCCCTCCACTCCCTCAAGTTACACTTGGTGGAATGAACGGTCTTAAATTCTAAGCACCTGTAAGCACCAGGCGCGGATCTAGGATAAAAACTGACCAATTTCCTAAACGAGCGCCAAAGGCGAAAGATTCTAGAGGGGTACAGTGCATTCAGTCCCCGGAAATGTTTTGGATCTGAACTCCCTTAAGTCACCTTTCCTGCGATTCTGAGTCCTTTAGACAGGATATTGGCCAGATTTTAACTTGGAAAGTTTTTTATCATTACAAATATATTTGACCAATTTTCGTAAAACGGTGGAAACTGGTGTGGATACGCACCTGAGCACCAAAGCTTTAGTTACGAAGGAATGCAATCAAGGACGTTCATGTTCATTAACACAATCTGATTTGCTTCTTTCAAAACAACTTTGATTGGCAAGAAGAAAGAAACCTACAGGATAAATTACCATTCCGATCTATTCAAAATTGTCTTATATCCTTGTAAAACAGGCCGTTTCTATCTGCTCGTAGTGTGCATTTTTGCTGATTAGAATTTTCACATGAAAGCATCAGTTCACCAAACTGAGAAATCGAAAAACAAACAGTGTGTCACTAAAATAGTAAACAAACCACTTTTACGTTCATGTAGATGACTATTAAGTAATCAAGTGAACATGTACTTTATCATGCTCCAGTTCCAATATATGAATTTCATCACAACTTCTCTGGCTTGTTTTCAGTTTGGAAGTGAAATCAATCCCAACAGGAAGTTTTAACAACTTAGCATCTTAACTCTGTCTGCAATTTGGCCTTCCCAGGTAATGGATTTTTAATGGACTTATGTTGTGCTATACTTTTACGGTTTTAAATCAAAGGTTTAATATTTTGGCATTTTGTAGTACTTTTAAGGTTTCCTAGTTGAGAAATTGTATTAGTCTCTTCTGCTTTACCGTCACGAATGCACCGCGGGGCCCCAGCGAGACAACACCAGGCAGAAGACCTTGGAAGCGCCATTACATAATTATGATGAAGAATATAATGTAATGGAACAAACCCTAGGAAACAAGTTTGATAACTTTTAAAGTTTTTTTAAGTCGTTCACCCTTATTATAACGTAATATATGATTGAAAAGTTGACCGGGTTCCAACATTTGCAAACTGAAGAGTGAATGCAATAAAATCTACGGAGCAACATTTTCACTGACCTTCCTTACTATAGTTTTTGCTGTATTTGTCAAAAGCCTATAGCACCCCGCTGGAACTGTATCAATTCTCGCTATCAGCAAGCCCGGCTAGCTCAGTTGGTAGAGCATGAGACTGTTAATCTCAGGGTAGTGGGTTCGAGCCCCACGTAAGGCGACCTTTATTTTACTTTTAGCAATCGTGACTACTTTAATTATTGATATATCTCATATTACTAACATCTCCCTCCCGCACGACCGTTTTGCGAATTCCTGGTTGGTATTGACCCGTCGAAATATAATAACTACAGGCTATTCACGTTGTTACAGCAGTCCTTACAGTCGTTGATACTGAAAAATGTTTGGTAATATTAGGCAAGGAGGGTGTTTCAATGCAAAGCTTAGCTTTACAAAGTGCTCATTTTGATGCGTTTTGCCCAAGTCAGGTTTCTTCCGCGGGATCAGTTCAGTTTTCTGCCTCGACAATGAGTCTTACACGAGTTCAAGATGTTTCAGTACAAGACATCCATAAAAGGAAAAAGCCTCGAAAACACTATGTAAGTCAGTAGTTCTGTGTTGTCCTTTGTCTTGTGGCAAGTCGCCACCCTTTTCTCGCCCCAGGCCATGTAAGGGAATCCAAGACAGTATTGGATTCTGGATTGCACGCTGTGGGTTCCAGGTACTGTATTCAGTAGTCTTTAGCAGTGGAAATTGGATTCCGGATTCCAAAGACTAACGTTCATCTCCGCCTGACTTATTCTGTCTTACAACTTCTTTATTCAAACATAATCAGTCGGGTTGGAACAATCGCAAAAAAGGTTCAAATGATTATAATTTTCTTCAGGATGCTTTTGATGGCATAGCCGTTGTTGGAACGTTAGTTCCCAACTGATTGCGAACGATCAATCCCCTTGGGAGTCAGTCATGAAGTTTAAAATCGCCCCATGCAAGGGAATCAGGGAAAATTTTCTTGTGGATTCCGGAATCCTTACTATAAATTAAGTGTATCGTTCAGGGCTGTTGGTAAAGAAACTAAATATTATCCATCATCTGCACGGATCAATTGAGGTTTCTGGGTAACTGACCACCTACCCCTCCCCTAAGTCACAATTTTGCCCAAAATGAAAAGTAAGTGTTAATGTTGACTTAGGAAGGGGAAGGTGGTGAGTTACCCAGATTAAACCACAATTCATCTGAGCTAACTCAGGACATTATGTAATGAATGATTAGGCATACGTCATCCATGTTCAGTGGCAAGATGGGCCAATCATTCCAGTTTACAGAAGTTACGACACCTTGCTTGAACTGCAGGTAACAATATTCTTCTATTTCTACTCGTTTTTGTACCTCTGTACGGCACACTGTTTTCGCTTATTTTGTGACAGCGCGGAGGGTGGAACCGATACAATATCCGGGTTACGTTATCACAGTTATTAGCTGTCTTGCCAGTTATCTGTCCTGTAATTCTACATCGCATCCACTAATAACCTCGTCTGTATTCTTATTTGATGCAAATCAATATTTGAAACTAGGTAATAAAAGTGCTGATCTCAATGTGTGTTACTAAATTACTCTCACTGAGGCAATGCCAACACGTATTCTTTTTTGTTCAAAAAAGAGGTTTTTTTTATCCGTTTCGGCCTACCGTCTACAAGTATCCGGTGACCGAAAACGCATCTTTTCAAAACGCTCTCCAGCCTGGTGAGTTTAGGAAACGTCAGCTTCTCATTTACACGTGGACAGAAGAAAACGGAGGTTTTCAATTACAGTGATGTCAGAAACCGATCAATCGGTTCCTGGATGATATCATACATCATATACTACGCATGCTCTGTGAGAAATGCTATCGAAATTCGTGTGCACGGACGAAAGCGATTCAAATTTGCTGCTTGTGGACACGTGTTTTTTTTTTTCTTCAAAATCGGAGGAATATTTGGATACGTATGGCGGGACCTGAAAGTCTTTCCCAGCCCATGTTACTCTTTAAAAATGAGCAGATAAAATAGCCTCGTCCTGAGGAGAATTTTGGCACGAACTGCACGAGCTGCACGTGCAACTATTTAACAATTTGCATAATAAACACATCTGCATATATTACCACTGTCAGTTGACTTCCTGGTTCAGTTTGAGTTCAGAAGCCTGCCAGGTTATGTTTGTCTCAACTCACAATAAGCGCAAAAGTTCGTTATTGATCAAGCTGTATACAAGCCAAAACTGCCTTTACGAACTCAGAACTTTCCCCAATCTAAAGATTGAGAATTTAAGATTCGGAAAGGCCAATAGATAAACTATTCATAGATTTTTCAACTCTCATGAATTCCGCCCGGCTAGCTCAGTCGGTAGAGCATGAGACTCTTAATCTCAGGGTCGTGGGTTCGAGCCCCACGTTGGGCGTTGTTTTTTTTTTTTTTTTGGAGGTGGGTGGAGGCACTATCTGAAAAAGGGAGTATATGAACCCCGTGATATTTAACTTTTTATTTCAATTTCTTCAGGAACAGTTATTGCAAAACGGGAAAGAAGAAGACATTTCTACAATAACTCTTAAAGGTAACCTGCCATCAACTGAACGTGTCGTTTTGGCCACGTTTACCGTAGACGAGATTTTTCCGGATTCAAAAATAATTCCAGATCTATTGCATTTAGGGTTGCCGAATTTACGGGCGTTTGCATGTCCATCTGTAAATCCCAAAAAAATTCATTCGGATATAAAGGATTCACCTAAAATTCCATTTAGATTTAGGCCGAGACCTATTCGGAGTTCGATTCTCAAAACAGGGATCGGGTAGAATTAGTAAGGCTAATAGTCGAGCTCATAGGTTAGTCTTGTGTCTTAACGAGCGACTCGGTCGGTACACTACTTAACAATTTACTGCTCTGGTGGTTTATGATAGCTGGATATTTTTCCAGTGTAAATTGAATAGCTAATATTAGAAAAACACGTGGAGAAAATACTGAACTGGAAGACTGTGTCGGAGGCAAAGAATATGCCTTCGCATTCCTCACTTGAGAAAAAAGTATCAGTCACTCTTAAAGCTATTTCCTAAAACCAATCTTTTGTTGTTAAAGCTAGGGCGTGAAACCTATGTGTACTAAACTGTTTCTGTCTTTACGTTACATGTGCGTGGAGGGAACGTGATATCGGTTGGTTTTATATTAGTCATTGTTTTAAGGGTATAATTATGTAGAAATCACTAAAGACGCATCTGCGCATATTTTTCCGTAGGGAAGAGGTTATCCGATTGGTTTACTATCAAAAAAAGAGCAAAAGCAATCAGGAGAATGCCGGTAGTCGAGGAGTTCCTTAAAGTGAGTGACGTTAAGAGCAAAAAACAATTTAATTTGTCAATATTTTGAAAGGTAGAGGCTTTTTCGCTTACCCCGGGTACTAGAGGTTTTTTCTCTGCTGTTGCGGGATACTCAGGTGTCCGAAGTCCGAAGCCGCGAGAAAAAAAACTTTAAATACTTTACAGAAACCGGAAACCGCGCTGGAAGAGTCTCTGGTACCCAGGGTATTTTTCTCTAAAAAGCATGTAGAAATCAAGCAGTCAAACAAAAAGACAAAGAAGGCCACCTGGAAGGCGAAGGGACACGGTCTTTTTTATTGTTGATATTTTGAAAACGAACCTCTAAGTAACTTCGTTCTCTGGGCTTATTCTTTTTCCTTCGCATTTTATACTGGAAAAGCCTTGGTGACGAGGCCATTAGATTTTGTCTATTCTTTGTACTTACGGTTACTGAGATATCAGTAACTAAAGCGGTTTTGTATTCTCGAGCTATACGGACTTAACAACATTCGCCTCTTTTATTTTTTCTAATCTCGTCCCAGGGCGTGGTTCATCTTCCGTTGCACATCTCTGAGTCGGATGCAGTGATAACCTTCTTTCTTCCGCTGCCTGAAGATCTCATTGGGATAGACCACGAAGAGAAAGAGTATGTGACATATTAACACATCTGAGTTGTGCCTTGGTTCAATTAAATGGTTGTATTGGAAATCAAACTCGTCCTCGGGACTTTCCGGCCCTATCTGTTTTAAAACGAAAAGCCCTGGGGACGAGGTAAAGAAAATAAGTGCAGTCAGTCTCCCTGAGAGGACACCTGCCTAAAACAGACACCCAGAGTACATTTACGTCCTTTCCGTCCTTCATTAATTTTAATTCTCTCCCTCTCTGTGTCGTGGACATCTCGTGAACACGGACAATCGGTGTAGGAGTCATGGGTGTCCAAACACTATTACCTATGTCTTGACCACAGAAAAAAACTTTTTTGGTCGAATATTCGTATCTTAGCAGTACGGATTCGCATACGAGGATCATAAATTACCCCCTCGTTCAAATTATATTAACATATTTTTGACATATCAAAGACTGTCTTTCTTATTTTTGTTTATGATCGAGACGTAACATAAACATCTCTTGTTGTTTATAACCAAGAATTCCCAAATTCGTTTTCAGGATGCATCAGAGTATCGATGGCCTAAAACGTGGATCACAGAAGCCCAAACGTAAGATTTTGTCTCCTCTTTCCTGACCTATAAGTGTGATATTACTAATAATCTTGATTATGGAACCGCGTTCGTCTTATTCTACGAGCATGACATCTGCACGAAAACGAGACTAAAGGAAACGAAAACAAGTCCAAAGAAGTCCAGCTTCCAGCGGCCGAGATGCCCCTGAAAAAAATTAATAGGGGCGACTAATCGGCAGTCGCCCGTGGTAACTCGAAAATTTCTACCTTTGTGACACAGGAACACCAGATTAGGATGCGTTCTGACGAACGCGAAAACTACCCCGAGTATAAGGGAGTCCCGGTGAATTCTCAGTTTTGACCCTAGATCCCCTGTGATTGGCTGAGAAATCTCGTCACACTTTTTCAGCCAATCAGATTCAGAAGAGGTAACTAAAGACCACATACTCACCTGGTCGTGCGCTTTTTTCTGCACCTTTGGCGTAGATACTCTGCGTTTCTTAATGTTATGGGGCTACTAATACATTGCAGGGTCGTCAAATCATGAACGAATTAACGATGAAATACTTCTCATACAGGAGAGTACCGATAGTCCTCGGTCTCCTTAGATACAGTTAAGGAATCATAAGACGGACATCTTTCGAGGTATACTGTTTGTTAGTATCGAGTTCAGGAAGAATACCTTTAAGCAAGTTTATCTTACACGGACAATGATGGTGATGTTATTGTTGTTTTGCTCTACAGATAGATGCATACATCATATTTCGGAGCCAATGTTGGTTGAACAGTATGTGGTTATCTGTGATTACGTCAAACAAGATGAAAGTGATATTAGTCTAAAATCAGGGAACGTGGTGGACGTCATCGAAAAATACGAACACGGTGAGCAATGAAGAGGTATACGCTGAATCTTTTTTACGAGTAAAGGAATTAATTTTTTACCACAGTAATCAGTTTGTAGGTGTTATTGACCAGAGATGAGTTTAACCTAGTACACGGGAGAATCGGCCAATTTTTTAATTTTCCTTTCTTTGGCTCGCAATGTCGGGATGATTCCTGGCTTAAGTAAATTGAGCAAGTAATTAATTAATTAACTAAGTATTGTAAGTACGAAGTACTATGAGTAAGTACACTGTAAGTCTTGACCGAGAGGAAGTCGATATCTTGTCCGAACAAGCTATATCAATGAAGAATGAAGAAAATCTGTTCATACGGTGAGAGCGGGCAATCCTGACAAACTGGAAATGAAATTGTAAAGCTGGTTCTCAAGTATAAACCTTTCTGCTATAAGCTTTATCACAGCCATATTTTGCTAATTGTAGTAGGCTATATATGTTACCTTTTTTTCTCAAGGTTGGTGGTTTGTGGATCTTGATGGCGAGGTAGGTTGGGCACCAGCTTCGTATCTGGAGCCCAGGGACGGCAGCGAGGATGATCAAGTCCTAGAAGTGTTTAAGGAAGGAGAAGGTAAGTAAAATACAGAATTCTTTTTTTTTTCCTTAAAAGCATTTTATTACACCAAACAGCTAAATTCAGCCACATAGTTTGAATGAAAACTGTTTGTAGACAGAAATTAGTGATGGCAGCGTCAACGTATGAGTATACAGGTATATACAGCTGTACATATTCTGCACAGCCATGCTTACATGATATGAAAGGGTAAGAAGAGGGGTGGCAGGGTAAGGTAACTTTATATAAACTAGAGGTAATCATTGATTGCGGATCCGCGTTAGTCACTTGCGGAAACAAAATCGAGTCGAAAGGAGTCCAGTTTCCCGGCCGAGATCCCCCTGATAAAATTAATAGAGGCGGCTAATCGGCAGTCGCCCGCGGATAGCTCGGAAATTGCTACCTTTCTGCCACAGGAACACCAGATTAGGACGCGTTCTGACGAATGCGACAACATGAGAGGTTAAAAAAATGATGATTAAGTGAATTGTGCCCAGCAACTTAGGTTTTTTAGTCGATCAAGTCGGGAAACTTCGTTGTAGACTGAGTTACAACTGTAAGTAGGAAACGATAGAAAACTATGAGTAGCTGGTACAGGGTGAGGTAGTCGATCCAAGCTCCTTGAAATCGTAGAAATCTGGTTAATCGAAATCAACTATATATATGTCGACTTTCCAAGCCTTAGGGATAAAGCCCTGGAAACGAGGTTGTTGTTGACCTTGGAAGTTTTTCAATGAAATCCCGTTTTCATTCGACAAACAATCGACTAGAAATGGACTAGAAGCCAATTGCTCGTTGAAAGAATTCAGAGACGCAAATGTTGCTTCTTATTTTCTATTTATGGGCGCTCTTGCCTGTCTTTGAGCCTTTTCTAAAATGCTCTTTGATATCTCACAGAGGAAACCTATATCACCATGGCAGGATACGAGCCTCAGTTAGAAGATGAGGTTAATTTTGATATGGGGAAGATTGTTAAAGTTATTCAGAAAAATCTTGACGGATGGTGGCTTATCAAGTAAGTGCTTTATTCGCTCCTGGGCTCATTTGAGTTGTTATTCAGTTGTTAGGATGAAAATGCAGAGGAAATATAATTGAGGCACGCAGATATATAGGCGCACAGTCATACCACTTTTAGCACGTATTTGCTTTTTGATTCCTCACTAAGGAAAATGCAAGACGTTTCTTTGGTTTAAGAGCGGATGTCAGTAAATATCGACCAGAGGTCTACAAAAGTGAAAAATCGAAAATTCTCAAAAACATTCACAAAATAGCACTAGCTAAGCTATTAACATAAATGTAATTTTTACTTCGATCCGATAATTATTTTCCACGTACGGGGGGGTTATTGGTTTCGCGGCTCTCGGACTGGGTTTTCCAGGCCCGAGACCATGTGTCACAAAAAAATCGTTTTAAAATTCAAATCCATTGTAATGTGGACAACAATAACTTATTCAGAAGAGTACTTAATTGCACATATTCTAAGTGGTGATTTACTCAGTTTGAACGAAACAGTGATATTTTGGAGATTTTTCATTATTTTCAATATTTTGAACGTTTTCGTTCAATGAAAAAATGGCAAATTTCAAAGCCCAAAATCGTCGACTGGTACCTCGATTTCAGTAACGAGTCTTATACCATGTTAAAGAGCGTTATCTCTTCTTTCAAAATCTGTTTTCAAAACTACGGGCAACTTAAAAGAAAATTTTTGAGGCCAAAAAATACAAGTAGTACTTTTCTGAAATTTGAGCTTTCCAGACGCGGCGGGCCGATGCTAAAAACTTGGAAAAATACAGTAAGAAATCAGTTTGAGCAATAGTGGTTTCATGTTATCAGCTTTCAGAAACCAAGACGTGTTTATACAGCGATCTGATATAAATTAATGCCGTTTGCTATCAAGAAAGGCAGATTTAAGCTGTCAACTCCTGCCAAGTGCACCAGTCACGTGAAGTTGTCAAAGGGAGGGCAAAGCACTAATATTAAAAAGTCTTAAAATTCAAAACGTTTTACGTCCATGAAATCAGATTTTAGCGTACAAAACAATGTTGTGAATGTCTGTTGTTCGTACCTTAGCATGGTGTTTCCATATATTGGAAATGTCAAGTATCCACACGGGAGAACATACCAAACAACAACGTTTCAAATCCAAGCGCCGAAAGATCGTAAACGGCAAAGATTGCGTTACATTTCACAGAACGACCGCTTACCACTGTTGTCACTCCTTTTTTCGCTGGAAGCTACGAGGAGTTTTCATTCCGTCATGAGTGATTCTTGATCAGCGTTTCCTTGAAAGTACGACCCCGGACAGGTGATAACTGAGGACGTTTCGTCAAGACTCCTGTTGTTCAGTTTCAGGCTTTAGCAGGTGCGTAGTCAGGATTTTTCCGGAGGTACGCCCAACTTTTTCTACATCTTCTTCCCCCCCCCCCCCCCCCCCCCCCAAATCTCAACATTTTTTTAAGGTGCCTTTATTAAAGGTGGGGTTAACGGTTGTAAGCAAAAGCATTTTTGCTGTTTATGAAATGACACAACCTCTAAAATTCTTTAATTCTGTCGGCTTGTTATGTTCATTGACGTCAACCGTTTATCATTAATTCAGCTATTAAAAATCAAGCTTGTAGTACCTCCGACTTTAGTTTACAAATGACTCTTTTTACCCCTTTTTGTCACATTATTTTTGACCGACAAAAGCACCACACATTGACGTAATTGTGCCCTACTTCGTCTACTCCGAAGACAGGTCGTGGAGAAAACAACGCGTTCACGCTTTACATCATCAAGCTTGCTATATAAATAAATCATCCAAGATTCGGTTCTCCAATTAATGTCGTCGCTTCTCTGGAAACCGATTTTTTTTAGTTATGTTTATTTCATTCTATTTTTTTCCTCAACGTTTTCGGGTACGCACGTGCAAACCGTGCGTACAAGTAGCTACGCCCCTGTTTAGTCTCCTTAGCCCTGAGCGTTCCTCTCTTGCGGTTTTCGCGGGAGTTCAGGATGTGGTCCACCCAGTATTTCACGTCTCTTTTAAATGAGAGGCAGCACTTCTTGTTTACCGTTTCGTTATCAGACAGCGCTTAGGCTCTTAGCCTTTCATTTAATTTTGATCAAATTTTTATCATTTAGTTACTCAGTATACGTTCGATCCTGTCCTTGTAAACTTATACTTTTATACTTTAAGGGAGCTTAATACCTATATTAATTTTTTCTTCGTTTAGTGTCGTCCAAAAGACCCAGTTTTTTGGCATTTTTTAAAAAAGCAAGAAAAAGAAACGACAAGGTTTATTTTTTTTGGACTTAGATTAATTCTTTTAATCTAAAAAATTAGCATTATAACATCATTTCGAGGCATAAAACGTTCGGTGGTGTATCCTCTTTGCTTTTTACCCTTTTTGGGCCTTTTTTTTTTGAAATTGACCATCAAATTTTCCGCCATATTGAGTTTGTGTCGATTTGGTGACCATGTCTTGTTGTTTTCAGTCTCCACGGCAATGATGCTGGTGTTTCAGGCCTCCCGTTCTCAGATTTCTTGTGATTTTTTTTTTCACCCCACCGACCGACCCGCCCAAAACCAGGAAACCTATTCGACGCTAAACGAACGAAAAGGGGATGACCTAAGCCTTATGGTTTCTTTTTGGGCTTCCTCACCACATTGCTTCTGCGTGTTTCTGTATACTTGTCTTTTGCTTTGTTTTGTTCTTTTTTGTCGGTAAAATAAACTGAAACTGTACAAAGACCCTCAATATTCCCTTTGGAGGTTCTCGAACGCGCATAAAAAAAATGAAAAACGCGATGATTTATTGACCGCAAGGGCAATGGGGTGGGGTTAGGGCTCGTTACTGCGCTCCGGTTCACTCGTACGCTGTCAAATGGTCCCGAAATACAAAATGAAAAATGACTGTGGACAGACTATTCACGTCTAGACATCAAGCATCTTTTAAGATGGGACTTATCGCCTCTCCCTGTTCATGGAGTTGATTCAAGGTGTTGACGTTAATTTCGTGATGCCCTGCATGTTGCCAGGACATGTTTCAAAAGGGCCTTTCCAAAGGTACGGAGTCCGCCGTCACCTTGTCAACCGTGCGAGAAATGATGTACTTCACAAAAACAAAGAGAAGTTATTTTCGATTTGCCCCGCCCCCTACCCCCGAAAGTCCCCGACAGGACCGCTTCAAAGTACTCCCCATGTGGTTGCGCGGGGGATAGTAACAGGTCTACCTAATTGCACCGTGCATCAATGACAGTTTAGCTCAATCAGAAGCCCCTTTTCCCTGGCTAGTTCAAGGTGTGTGCACCTCCTTTAAGCTGTTGTTTTCGGTTCTTACTGAAATTTTTGATCTTGAGGAAATTCACAACGACAGGAGCAGGTTATGGGCTTTTTTCCTAGCCCTAATCCTACATCACGGGAAATCCCTCAGGTTAGGCAAGAATTCGATAATCCTTCCATAATCATCCATTTTTTCACCGCGTGAATTGGGTATTTTTAGCTTATTTCGAGGAAATACTTTTTGCTTCAAATCCAGGGTGGGCTTTTAAACACATTTTTTAAGCCAAATGGTTTTTGCGAGAATCTGCTTACCCGAACTTTTCGCATAAAAAACGACAAATACCCGAAAAAAGCTCATGTTGTTGGTGGTGGTGGCATATTTCCGATAAATTCAGCTCAATGTCTCGTGAAGAAGAGTTCAGATCCGTGCCGCGCGCCTCTCGAGGCAAGCGTTCCGTCGAAATGCGAGCCCAAAAACAGGTGGTAAGCGGTCAATCTGTGAAAAGTAACGCAATCTCCGTCGTTTGAGAGCAGCCGAAGATGCTCTTGCCGATGCTGTCCTTGATGTTTTTTATTTCCAGTATCTAGGAAACCCATGCTAAGGTATGAAACATACACTCGTAGGCATTGTTCTGTCCGCTAAAGTCTAATTCCTGGACGCAGAAACGTTGTGCTTTTTGAAGTTTATTATTGTGCTTTGCCCTTTGACAACCTTACGTCACTCGTGCGTTTGGTAGCAGAAGATGGCTAAACTCTGCTTTTCTTGTTGGAAAACGGCTTTAAATTTTATCAGATCGCTCGATAAACACGTGTTGGTTTCTGATAGCTGATAACGTTAAATCACTGTTGCTCAAACTGATTTCTTATTGCATTTTTCTGAGTTTTTAGCATCGACCCGCTGAGTCTGGAAAGCTCAAATTTCAGAAAAGTACTACTAGTATTTTTTGGCCTCAAACATTTTCTTTTAAGTTGCCCGTAGTTTTGAAAACAGATTTTGAAAGAAGAGATAACGCTCTTTAACGTGGTATAAGACTCGTTACTGAAATCGAGGTACCAGTCGACGATTTTGGGCTTTGAAATTTGCCATTTTTTCATTGAACGAAAACGTTCAAAATATTGAAAATAATGAAAAATCTCCAAAATATCACTGTTTCGTTCAAACTGAGTAAATCACCACTTAGAATATGTGCAATTAAGCACTCTTCTGAATAAGTTATTTGTTGTCCACATTACGATGGATTTGAATTTTAAAACGATTTTTTTGTGACACATGGTCTCGGGCCTGGAAAACCCAGTCCGAGAGCCGCGAAACCAATAACCCCCCCGTACGTGGAAAATAATTATCAGATCGAAGTAAAAATTACATTTATGTTAATAGCTTACCTAGTGCTACTTTGTGAATTTTTTTGAGAATTTTCGATTTTTCACTTTTGTAGACCTCTGGTCGATATTTACTGACATCCGCTCTTAAATTTGGAGATCTCCCCGAGGCAAGCATGCTACAGTACTCTCTTGCGATACAGTCAGTATATAGAGAATAATTCAAAGAGAAACTTAAAATGTGTTTTCCACCAGGGTGGAGGCCTTAACGAAAGTTTGGGTAGGGTGTGGTTACTTAGCCCCTTAAATCCTTATGCAGCAAATACCTTCATTTTTCTACCCTTCTAAAAAAAATCGCCCCGGCTTATATGAGGCAGTTGTCTTAGCTATTCACAATTTAAACATGGTTGGTTAAAGTGGAATGGTTGGAAAACCCATTGTTATAGGTTTTTGTTAGCTTTTTTGGACCTGACCGTGCACAACGTTCAATAGCAATTCTATCATTTTGAAGTTATTGACCAATAGAAACATTGCCTTAATTTATTCAGTCATAATTTGTGAACAGAAAACAAAGGATTGTGCACCGTCAGAAAGATTACAACCAGGGGCGTAGCTAGGGGGGTCCTGGGGTGCCCGTGACCCCCCCTTGATAGGCCTTCTTTTGAGCAAACAACCTACAATATTCAGGTAGCGAAAACGCCATGACAATATCTTGGTCGTAAAAGCCATTGTTGAAAAGCCCAATTTTTTAAAATTTGTTTCTTTGTGAAGTATTTTCGTCAACGGCTCTTGTCTTTAGTTAATATGGGCGTAGAGGTCGACATAACAATCTGGTGAGTAGCCTCTGTGACACCCCCCTTCGAAAAATCCTGGCTACGCCCCTGACAACATAACCTAAAGCACCATTGTTTGCAACTTTGATGTTTGACGGGTCTCCTAACCAGTCTCCGTTACTAACTATGATCTAAAGAAGTAGTGAAAGTGACACCAGTCTTTCTCTGCAGGTTCGACGATCAGGAGGGTTGGGCGCCATCAATGTTCATGAGAGAAATCGCCACTTCGCGTTACAACGAGCGAGAAAAGGGGAAGCATAAGGCCAGGGCCCTGCTTAGAGATCATACCCGGAAATACATCACATCTGGTAAGAAAAATAAAGGTCACATAATGGATATGGAGTAATTGGGTCATCTAAGAGGAATATTCTCCTCTAAAAGTCAATTACAAGTGGTTTTCTTGATATTTTTTTCAGAAATTAAACTCCCATATGAAAATTCTATTCTCCCTCTCCCTTTCAGGCAGAAGAAACACTTGGAAACCACCCCAAAGAAAAAGGAGTGTTGTAAGTATACACATACTCCACTCAGTGATATTGGTATTTTAAGTAATCTTATTGGCTCACAATATCAGATTACTACTTGAATTATTATTTAAATTGTACAGAAGGGCATGGAGGTATTAAATGCTATTGAAACCTTTTGGTGAGGAAGGTATCCCATTCCGTCTCAGAATAAAATAAAATAGATGGATAAGAGTAGGTTTCTTTTAAGCGGAGAAAGCAATCAATCTCTCTCAGTTTAGATAATACCTTGCCTCTCTTACGATTTTTTATTGGTCAAGGCACATAAAAAGCCTAAGACGTAACGGCTCCTTTTCGTTTGGTTAACTCTGTAGGTCCTAATGTTAAATTTTAAAAATATGTTTACATTGTCCTCTATACATTTCACACTGTGCTATTGTAATGTACTGGGTTTCACGTATTTAGAAGGCGAATTCGAACAGTAAAACGTAACAAGCATGTCCGGCTAAGCACATGGTAAAACAATGAACGAACTACGCACGCGCAAAGTACGGGATATAATCGCTACTGAGAATAATTTGTTAGGTCTAAGACCAGGAGACAGCATTTTGGGTGCGAAAAGTTTTGAACCCATGAGTCATTTCATAGGTACATTGAGCATGATCGTCCGGGTGATCCTAGTCCTGAATAGGACTGTTATTGACAGTGACTGACGTNCGGAGAAAGCAATCAATCTCTCTCAGTTTAGATAATACCTTGCCTCTCTTACGATTTTTTATTGGTCAAGGCACATAAAAAGCCTAAGACGTAACGGCTCCTTTTCGTTTGGTTAACTCTGTAGGTCCTAATGTTAAATTTTAAAAATATGTTTACATTGTCCTCTATACATTTCACACTGTGCTATTGTAATGTACTGGGTTTCACGTATGTAGAAGGCGAATTCGAACAGTAAAACGTAACTAGCATGTCCGGCGAAGCACACGGTAAAACAATGAACGAACTACGCACGCGCAAAGTACGGGATATAATCGCTACTGAGAATAATTTGTTAGGTCTAAGGCCAGGAGACAGCATTTTGGGTGTGAAAAGTTTTGAACCCATGAGTCATTTCATAGGTACATTGAGCATGATCGTCCGGGTGATCCTAGTCCTGAATAGGACTGTTATTGACAGTGACTGACGTTTCGACAGCCTATGCAGTAGTCATCTTCAGAGTTAAAGTGAGTTGTATCACGTCAGTTGATGATATTGAACTCTGGTTATTGACCTGATTGGTCAATAAAGGTTCGCGATGTTGGGTGACCATTGTTGATATTATTGACATTATAAAATCACTTGATGAGTTGTGAGAGGGTTAAGCATGAGAGAGTTTGTCTTCTTTTAAACATACTTTTCACATTTCTCTCCTCAGAAGAGAACTTACCCAGGGCATGGAACCAACCAAACGGGATCTACTCGCTCCGCTGCTACACCAACTTACGTAAATTTAAAGTTTCACGAGGCCACTAAAAGTGAAGTACCGGGTAAAGGACGAACCAGAGGGAAACTAGACCCCAATGAAGTACGGACTAGCGCCAGACTTCAGCCAATAGATGACATGAAAAATAATACGAAAGATACCTATGAAAACAGTATTGAATTATCAAAACCAAGGCCCTTGTCGTTAGTAGCAGAAGAGGCTCCCGAAACTGTGTCCCGAGGGACAAGTCCTATTCCCAGCCCATTGTTGGTGCATCAGGATTCAAACAATAGCAGTACTTCTTCTAGTGACCATGTCTTTCGCTCGATACCCTCGAGTGAATTTCCGTTCACACAGACTAGTGATAACGACCCATTCAAGGAGGATAACCAAGAACCTGAGCCAGAGTCTAATCCCGCACACGATGTCAATGATTCAGAGAATGAAGCTGTTAAGGACAACCAAGACATAAGTGATGAAGACGAAGGCGACGAGTACACAGAAAACATGCCGGAACTGGTCAATAACAGAAGGTTTTACGCAATGGGGTCATACAAAAAACAGGATGAAGAGGAAGTGAATTTGCGAGAGAACGCTGAGGTGGAAGTGCTAGAGGAAGATTCAGGAGGTTGGTGGCTAGTGAGGACATCAAGTCATTCTGTAGGCTGGGCACCTTCAAATTTCTTGGAAAAGGTTCAGAGTTTGAGCAGAGTTGAGGATAATTCTGATGAGGATGAATTGCCGGTTGAAAATAACTATCATGATAATTTACCAACCCGCCCGCCAAAATCGCCCAGAGTTCAAAAGATGGCGCGTGACATGTGCATCGAGAAGAACTTTTGGAATTATATTCGCAAAGGTAAAGGCATGGAAACTTGTCCAATTAACCCACAGGAGATAATGTCTGAAAGCTCTAGTGAGGTAGATACCGGGAATTATCAACCTGCCGAGGAGGCGGAAGGCAATGAAAGCGAGGTAATGGTCTTTACATTTGACGATTATGAATGCGATCCCGATTCTAAGGTTTGCTTCAGAAAAGGTCGAAAAAAGGATGGAATGAAATATTTTCCCTCGAATAAAATCGTGGCCCATGATAACAATATGAATATTTTGGAAGAAAACAACAATGTAATGGAAAGATCGGAAAGTGTACCAAGTTTGGCGGAACCCGAAGATTTTGACGATCACGACTACGAGTTTATAGAATTATAGCGTAACATAAACAATGACAAGCTTAAAATGTTTTACTCAAACCATGTATTCATATTTACCGTAGATCTAATGACAATGGTCTTTTTCATTGGTCCCAGGGGCTAATGATTCTCAGAGAAGTGTTAATTCGACCAGTCGAAGGCTATAAAAAATTAGTCGCACTATCCCTTCATAGGAGGGAGAGAGAGAGGAGGGGTTTAACTAGGGGCTGCCACCCATGACTCCTATGTTCGATAGTTTTTACAATTGTTCTTTAAAGCGATTTTGAGCCAGAACCAGAACATTTAAAACGGAAATGAGATAACAGCTGCTTTGTTAATTTAACATAAACGGAATTTTTTTTTACCTTAATGAAAACCTGGCATTTCCATTTACATTTTTAAACAATTATCAAACCAATATATTTTAGTCTTATACCTCATGGTTTTACTTTATGTTCAGAGTTGATAATTATAAATTCTAGTTACAAACCTGTAATACCTGAATGTTGTTGGTTTTTCTTAAGATGCTTTAGCATCGACAAGGGTTACCTATAGTCCTCTACATGGGGAAGGGAACTCCCATACAAAAGAAAAGAGGATGCTTGTCGGAAAATTAGAATGAAATCCCAGAAAGAGACAAATCTAGGCGTGGCTCAGGATTTACTAGCCTGAGAAAACACACGACATTTCACGATGCCACCACTTGTTTGTCCGCGAAATGACGTCTGAGGAACGAGCGCAGAAATTCCATACTGATGACGCGTCACTACTTAGATCTGCATAGGTAGTGTTTCTGATTGGTCGTGCCGCCCGTGAAATTTGTTTCAACCAATCAGAAGCACTACGCAGATCTGGGTAGTGTCGCGTCATCAGTATGGAATTTCAGCTGCGTTCGTTTCGCGAAATGTCAAGTAAAGTTTGCGTTTGAATTGATATGTTTCCCATCGCCTTACTCAAATAATATAACTCATACAAAACATTTTGTCATTTTGATTTTATTATAAGATCATTCATGCGATAAGATTCACATCTGAAAGACATTATTGTCAGGGGATAGGGCTTCCTTTTTGTTCCACTGAACAAGTATATCCCCCAGCTAACACTAAAATCATTCCAGATTTGTGTGGACTGTTAACTATAAGTCCCAACCGGGATTCTTTCCATGAAACCGGCCCTAATATTTTTTATTTCAGTTTTGAAGCACTCACAGTTGCCTCATATGAGACCTTACAACTCATTCTCTTATTAGGAGGCGGCTTTAATGGAAAAGGACGAAGCAAAGCCGGCTTTTTGCGATTTGAAATATGAAAATCAGAACACGGACGTCGGTTACGAACGAGATCAACGTTTTTCTGGCCTTAAACCCCAGAATGCTTAACTTACATTCGTTCTGGTTGCATTACGGAGAATTTCTTCGCTATTTTTTGTCTGTAGAGTGATTTAACTTGAACCGTAAAACAATCTGATCCTAGCATATAGTGCAAAATAGCAAGAGGTAAACAAAAGTAGACAATGGAATTAGTGCATAATAGTGCGTAGTATTCTACTACCTGTTTCACGGGTTAAGTAAAATCACTCTAATGACCTTACTTTATTCACTACTCATATAAACTTTTTATTCACCAAACCACTAATTACTTAGAGAAGGTGGATTTCGGTCAGTGTAAGACAGTTAGAAGGATCAATCCACCCAAAAACATGCTTTTATTGCTTCAACCCGAGTTATTTTTGGTTTCTTTTAAAACCACGTCGTCCATTGCAACCGAGTATTCTTGATCCACTTGCTTTCTGTTAATGTACTCAGCGAGGATGTAACCAACCATGCTGATGGTCAACACCAGAAGCAGAATTATAAGCTTAACCCTGATGCACAGAAAGTTAGCGTAAGCAAAAGCCAACACAAAGCCAAGAGATTCCCAGAGACGATAGTTTGAGAAGGCAGGTTCTTGGTTGTCGTGGAAAAACACACCGTACATAGCTGCGAAAAGAGAACAAAAGAACAGAGAGAGAAAAAAAAAAGGAATTATGCCACTAGCGACCGCAGTTTATTCGCGCTTTCAGCTCGTTTGATTATATAGCTGGTCAACTCTGTTTTAACGCTTTTACTCAGAGTGAATAATGCAGTCTTGTGGTTCTAACTTTTGAGTCTGTGGACAAAATCTCATGGTGAGACCATTCAAATGAGAGCTCTTTGACAGCACTTTTACGTAGTACAATTTGTTCCATTCAGCATTTAACAAAATGAAACATTGTTGATTTGACTTTGAACTCTTTGGGAGTGAAAAGGTTAACAGACAACTCTGTAAGACGTACATCTCCCCCCACAAAAGAGTTGGTTACTGCGACTCAAATAGACGAATTAAAAGCCATGTTCACTCTATACCGGGTAGCTTTCGCACCCGGACGAAAACGATACCCGATAGGCCGGGTTTCTGTTCAAATATAAGAGAGGTGATTTCGGCGAAATTTTTGTAAAGGAGCGAAGCTGCGCCGCGCCCATCTCTAAAGTGGAGAGTCACATATCAGATAGGTGTTCATACTATACCAGGTAGCTTTTAGCGTTGGCAAGAAAAGCTATCCGGTATAGTGTGAACGCAGCACATTCTTTTTTGCAAATTTAATCCAATCAGAAGCCAACGGGAAACTGTCCACGACTTCTGATTGGTTAATGTCTGCATGAGGGAATGTGAACTAATTAAAGGAGGCGACACTTTTGGGTTCCTTACTGTAATACTAGTCAAACACATCGCGCCCGGCTAGCTCAGTCGGTAGAGCATGAGACTCTTAATCTCAGGGTCGTGGGTTCGAGCCCCACGTTGGGCGCTTTGTTTTTATGTATTTTTTTACAACACAAAAACAGAAACAGGAAGTTATAAAGGCGGGATGTAAATTTATCATATCTCAAACCGGAAAGTAAATCTGTGTAACTTAGAGCCTTATCTTCCATCAAGCTCGATTTTTTTCAGGTCCATTTTAACCGTCTCCTTTTTGAATAGATCTGTCATTGTGAAGCTGCGCATGAGAGTGGGTTAGAGTTATGTGGAATTGCATTATGAGACTGTTTTCTGGAAGCCAGCTCTTCTTTCATTGGCTGTTTGTTTTCATTCGTCAGTTCTCCAAAACAGTCCCACAATGCAATTCAGCACAACTCTTACCCAGTCCTTAGCGCAATCTTAAAATGGATCACCGCAATTAATAGAGAGATTAAGAGTCACGTTTACGGCAAACGGCAAACGTCAGATTCAAGTTGAGAATTTCTCAGAATAGAGAATAAGCAGATAAAAACTGTCCAGAACAATTCTTATGGATAAAACTGGCGTGAAACTACTTACTTTTTGTGTAGAAGTAATAAACAGTATACGACAATTAAGGGAAAAAATTGATCATGTGGTACAAATCCACGTTTGCCGTTTGACGTAAACGTGAATCTTAATCTCTCTAATGCAGTTATTAATTTACCAACGGAATCACCAAAATGTTTAGTATACAGCTCATTTTGGAATTTGATTTGAATTCAAACTCATCGCGCCCGGCTAGCTCAGTCGGTAGAGCATGAGACTCTTAATCTCAGGGTCGTGGGTTCGAGCCCCACGTTGGGCGTTGCGGCAACAGTTTATTTTTAGAGTAAATAGTTTGAACTCAGGAGTCATTTCATAAGTAGCTAGATGGAATTGTCCGGTGAGTGTAGCCCTGAATAGCCTTATCATATTTTTAGTTAGTTTTTAACCTAAGAAAACTGAATAATTACATTTTGAACCAGAAATAAAAACTTTAATTATATCGATTGTCGCCAATAGACTAGTTCCCATTTTGTTCAAAGCATGTTTTTACCCTGGCAAAATAATGATTATTATATTCGTGTATTATTTCTACAGTAAAGTATACGTGTCCCCACGAAGTATGCAACTACAGTAGTGTGTCCATGCCAACTACTAAGTATTTATATTGTGAAAATAAAATTTACTGTAGCAAAGTAGACAGATGATAAAAGCACAGTACAGGGGCTTGGTATTCAGACAGAACTTAACAGAACAAAAGTAGTTAACCTTAATATAAATCTGAGGGGTGTACGGTAGCTATAACAACCTGGTAGCTTGGCAACATCGCAAGGTCTTACTGCAGATGGATAAATACGGGACTAACTTGACAGTGATACCAGCTCTTACCATTGTTCTGGATTGTACATGGCATCTATAGGTATTTTGATATATCAGAGATCTAAGTGGTTCGCGACGGTTGAGAAGGGAACTGGGCCGAGTTAACTTTCGCAAAGACTTTTGGGACTGTAACTAGGGACACCGGCGACTCCCCGGTAACGATCCCAGAAACAATTGCGGGATACTTTTCGGCACCAGTTTCGTTATCACTTCTAAAGTGGCCATTAGTAACAATGTGGTTACCTAGACATTAGTAAGCAGTCGCCGTAAAGTGGTTATCGGTTTGTGCGCAACTCGTATACTGTAAGGTTGCAGACGACCAACTCCTGGGTTCAAATCTTTCACAATGTATTCAAAGGAACAGAACTAAGTCTTACCATTGATCTGTGTCTGCCAGACAGCATCACAGTATCCCAGTAGGGCAGCGACTATATAAAACACCCATATCAGATTGTAATCTGGCCGCCAAATCAGCATGATGATAATGACAGCGTAATGAATCACCGCTCCGCTGATGAATACAGGAATTCTTCCCGTGTATTTGGTCAGGCGGCCAAGCGTCAGCGAGAAAAACGCGTCTGTTGCACCGAAGCAAATCATAACGAAGCCAACACGATGGATACCCAGTGAGCACGTCACGAACGCCTGAATAAAAAAATAAATAAAACAAAACCTTTTGCAGGGCTTTAAAATACAGATGACATTGCGCGTTCATTTCAGATTTCGAAAAAGGCCCTTTTTCAAAACAAAGCTAATTATAAAACCTTTCTTGTGATAATGAGTTTCATTTGCATGATGATGTAAAATAATTTTCGAATCAATGGCTTTGCACTAAGCCTCGCTTTAAAACAGAGACTTGGTG